GGACTTGGAGCCCGGGGCCTTGGCGTGGGGCCGGTACTCGATCTTCGTCTCCGCGGTCCAGCGGGTCACGATCTCGTAGGTCTGCTGCCTCTCAGGTGCGGAGCCAGTGGGATTTGAAATCCATTGTCTGAAGAAACACTTTATTTATTTTCCTGGGTGGCCCACAGGCCTTCTTGAATCCACCCAAGGGATTTCCGTGGGATAAAAAGGGGCGTCCCCCGGTTCCTGAGTCAGTTGAGTTAAGTTTTAGGGGAAGCCTTCCCAGAAAAAGATGGCAAAAGGGCCACTGGGCAAGGGAGTCTAGACTGAGTTCCCCTGAGTTCGTTGGAGTGGTTTCTCCTTCCCAGAATGTGGTACTTGGAGTTGGAGTTGGAGAATGGCAGGGCGTTACCTACCTAGCCTAACCGTCCCTGGCAGAGATGTGCAAGACCATTCTCAGGGGGTACTTTGTCAGGTGCGTTGGCCCATTTTACTGGGTGCTGCCATCCGGTCACTTAGGCTTTTGGCTAGGTGTCCAGTTAGTTTAGTGGTAGTTCCCGTACTTCACCCACAAGTTGCTTAAAGGGGCAGTGTTCTTAGTAAGCGGGCAGTAAGCCTGGTGAGACAACCCACTGAACGGAGACTGTTCGCCATGGCTTCAGCGGGTTATAACTGTGGGTATTGCCCACTTTCTATTTATAATGCCCCTTTAAGTACTTGGTTGCTGGAAGACGAACCCTCTGCATAAAGTGTAACCTTCTTCTTGTGGGTTCAATTCGGAAAATAAACTTGATTTCAACCAGAAAGTTGAAATCCCCAAACCACCAAACCAACAAGTAGGGGTTACCTGATACAAGTCCGAACCCTGCCCTGAAAATATATTTTCCTTCCGCTTTTCAGAAACAGGCCCGCTTGGCTTGCTTCTTCATCTGGCTAGTGGGTCCCCAAACAATCCAAAACATGCTCCCCTTTAGCTGTTTAGGGCAAATGACACACAGAAACTCCACAAATTGCCATTTCTCCTGGCCATCTCTGGGCCTCTGCCCGCGCCCCGACCCCACCCAACAGCCTGTAGGCTCCCTCCCCACCGTCCCGCACATAGATGGCCACGCGGGGCTCCTTCATGTACTCGGGTTTCGGCCAAGCACTCTTGTACCTCGCCCACAACACGACGCCGGGGGCGTCTTCCCCCCGCTGACAATTTCGGTGTTTTCAAGAAGCGTGTGGCCTTGCTGTGTCATTATGTGTGTGGATGTTCCTGTCTGCATGGAATGTGTCATGTGTTTATACCTTTTGCTTTCGGAAGGTATGTGTGTGTGTGTGTCCAAAAGAAGGGATCCCCCGTGGACGGGGGATGCTCTGTCGGATTCTGGCCATGTAATGCACGTGTTCAGAAAGGTGGAGGAGCACACCTCGGCTTCATCCCCATACTGCCAAAGGTGGCCTTCACTTTTCTCTGCAAACCGTAGATTCGATTTGGGGCAGCAGCAGCCCCATTTTGGACACGGCCCAAATGGCCATGAATATTGCAAGCCAAGCAACTTAAGTGTGACACAGTTTGGTGGGGAACCATAGTCACCCACTCGCTTCCATCCAGTGCATTTGCCAACTACGAGCAACCCTACTTAGGCTTTTTAGCGAAGCCCCTTACGTCAGACACCTACCAACAACTTGGCACAAATCGGTTTCCCTTTCAGGGGGACCGATTTGGGTCCAGGCGTTACCAATTTCGCCCCCGAATGTACCAAGTCATCCATCCCAACCGCTGCCTGGCGCGTATTTTTTAAGCACAGCGACTTTGCAAGAACAACCGGAAATCTCACGAATGGAATTCCAGGGGTGCCCCACAAACTTCCAATTCCATAGTGGAATTGGTCGGAGGCTTGTTTTTCACCGGTAACTATCTTCAATCAGTACTCAAAGCACTCGAAAAGGAGCGCTCCGAGGCGAGGACTGCTCCGTCTGGTACTTGAGCCATTGCTCCTTGCTCATCTTCGCCATGCGTGCCGCCTCCTCTCGCCCGCGGTCCTGCGAGACCGAGGGCCGAAGGAGCGAGCCCCGCGCAACGTGGGTCCAGTGTGAACAGTTAGAGGCCTCAAATGGGTCTCTCGTTTTTCTTGGCTTCCTTTTGGTTTCCCTTCAAAATCCACCAAATGGGGTTTTGGGCTTCACCGAAACCAAAAAAGAAAGAAAGAAGAGACACGCATATGCCAAGTTCAAGCCTCCCAGACCATTGGTTTGAGACACTGTGACGTCCCTTGCCTGCCAAACCAGTGAGTCATGATTAGACTCACAGATCACTAAACTGGACGATCAGAAGCATGGGAAAGAAAACCAAAAAGGCGGCGAAGGCGCCCCTTTGTGGCAAGGGGCTTCCCCTTGCACCCTGAATATCCACCGGTTTTGAGCATGCGGCTCAAGCGGTTTCAAGTGTTCAGCTCTTTTCCTTGCGCAAGCTACCTCGCGAAGACCTTGCCATTCACGGATTCACGTGATGCGCTCCTGCCTTTGTGAAGCCTCAGCCTGGACCACGCCTTGTAACACTTCCGGAACCTGCGGACAAGCCACCTAAAGGCTAAACCCGCCGTGCAGGGCGGTCCCTTCCTCCCACATGGCACTTGTGGGAGGGCACCTGGAAGATTCATCTCCTCTTGGAGGAACCAGGTCCCTAGGTGCCATGTTGGGAGAGAGGGTAAACCCATTGCGGCCCCAAAGGGTGGCCACAACTGGAGCATTTTTGGACATGTTTTTGGCCCTTACCCATAGATGTCCTTTTGAGGCAAATAGATGGCCCTGTTAGATGATGAAACCACCAGGTAAACCGGGAATCGCCATCTATTTTTCAACCAAAACAACCAAAAAGGACACCTATGCCCTACCCCCTCGGGTGGCCCATGGGCAGCCCCCCAGTGTGGTGCCTACAGAGTCCTCCCAACTGTCGGAGCACCCGCTGACTAACTTCTACTTGGGTGGTCGGCGCCAAGAAAGTTGTTAGGTAAATACGCCTAGGTGGGGTTTGCCCAGTCATTAGGGGGTTATATCCCAGGTGGCTAGCCACTTACTTGGTAACTTGGCCGAACATCCAAGTAGCTCGACCAAGCGATTTTATGGGCAAATGAAAGCTCTCAAAATGTGGTATCCAGTTAAATTCCCCGAAACCACTCCAAACAAGAACCTTGAAGAACCCCCCCCCCCCCCAGGAAATGACTCGCCTTTCCGAATGACTCGCCTTCGACCATAGTTACCCCCATGGAAACAGCAAGAAACGGACAGGGTTCCCCAAACAAAGACACACCCATATCTGCGACTGGTCGGAGCCTCACAAGATGTGCAGTCCAGACTGCTTGTGCAAGCAAAGCAGTGCTTTCTCCGCTTCTAAACAAGCCCACTATTGGAGCAGCAAGGGTCCTGTCAACGCCACGAGGTCCCGAGGGGTCACTGGATTCCCCAAATCAAAGGTTGATTAATTTACTGGTGGTGTCCATTAAAATCGCCACTTCGGGAGGTAACCCAAAAAAGGGAATTGGCTCGGAAACCCCGAGTCACTGCGCGATCATCGGCACCAAGCATCCGGCTGTCCTGACGCACCATCTTGGGCTTGCCGGTCAGCGGGGACATGTCCTGACTCCGATTGCCCAAACGCCTCCGAACGTTCCTTGCTCATCCTGCATGCCCCTGTGGTGGCTTCCCGTGACCCTCCGCAAGAACCAGGGGTTCAAACCGCCAAAACGACCAATCCACAACACCAACTAGGGCCTGATCCATGACCTCAACCAAAAAAAACAACAACCGCCTTCAGCTTGCGCGCGCCTGGCCCTTCTTCACCTGCACCTTCTTGGCCTTCATCACGGACGGCTTCACCGACTTCACCATGCCGACGACTCCACGCGCTGCTGACTTCGCGGCGGCTTGAGCAACGGCTGCGGCGAGAGCTCGGGCCACGGGAAGGGGGGGCGCAAGGGGTGTCCTCTGCCCATCGAAGGGCTGGGGTACTTCAAGCGCTTCAAGGGGCGATCGGGTACATAGTAAAGTGGTCAGGAAGCCTGGTGATAACCCGCTTAGGAGACTTAGAACCATGGTAAGTGGGTAGCTATAACCAGCCTTACTAACCACTTACTGAGCACCCTGCCAGTGTAAGTGATCCTTTGAATGGTTCCCCCTTGGCCGAAGCAGGACCTGCAGGAAAGGGCCCGTGTATTAATCGGGGGGAGCCAAGGCTGGTGGCTTTCTTGTCGGCGTACTTCGTGGGCACATGCCTAGATCGCCAGAATTTGGACCACCGTCTCATGTGGCTTGTAGCTTCTCCACAGGATATCCATCACCTGTTGCAGGCATGAAACAAGGGCTATCAGGAAAAATGTGTAGCAAATGGCGCCAAATTCTTGAGTTTCTTGAGAAACGCCGGTGACACCAGGCAGGTCAACATCCTAAGGATCAAGCAGTCCGTTGGTCCCAAAACCATTTCCCTCCAAAAGCTCGCAGGGGACGCGCTCTCAGAGTACGAGATTGCGCCGAATTAGCTCCATCTAAGAGAGGCATCGGAACAATGATTGGCTTGAGTTTGCCAGTTTCGCTGGCCAAATCGCCCATTTTGGGACTGAATGAAAGGTGTCAGTTCTTTGCGGAGAATGGGCTATGGCCTTTAGGACGGGGCAGGGGGTACAGTCGGACAATTTTCACAGGTGCTGCTGCAAACCCCCCGAGTGACGTCGCCAGAATGTGCCCTGCTGGATTCCTTCCGAAACCCCGCGATACAAACTCCACTGCCATCTGAGTGGGGGCGATTGCGGCCAAGGGTGGAAGGTGGATCCATCTTCTGATTTCCCGCGTGAGCAAACCAAGGATCCCCAAGCTTCATGGCTGGGCTCGCTCATTCCCTGAGTTCGCCGTGATTTCTTCAGCACAAATGTGACAAAAACACCAGCAGATTATATGTGACTGCATTTTTGTGCATGTCAAGAACCCCAAAAAAGTGTGTCATGAGAAAATTGCAGCCTTTGGGACCTCACCCAAGTATTCGCCTCGCTTGCTGCTGCATCAGCTCCCAGCTTGACATGCCTGGCAAGATGACCAGGCCGGGAGCGGGAGGTTCACACCCAATGTACATGTGCATAGGTCTATTACTGTTTTGTTGTTTGTTTGCTTGGATTAATTGATTGATTGCTTGATTGGTTGGTTGCTTGGTTGGCTTGATTAATGATTCTTCCTTGTTGGTCACCTCCTCCCCCCCCAAAACCAAAAAATAAGAAGAAAGAAACATAAAGATGGTGTGTGTGTGTGTGTGTGTGCGTGTGCATGTGCTGGTAGATAGGTAGATAGGTAGATAGGTAGATAGGCAGATAGGTAGATAGATAGGTAGATAAGTAGATATGTAGATAGGTAGGTAAGAGACAGGTAGATCGGTAGGTAAGAGATAGGTAGATAGGTACCTAGATAGGTAGATAGGTAGGTAGATAGGTAGATGGGTAGATAGGCAAAGGTAGATAGGTAAAGGTAGATAGGTAAAGGTAGATAGATAGATAGATAGATAGATAGATAGATAGATAGATAGATAGATAGATAGATGGACAAATAGATAGATAGGTAGATAGGCAGATAGGCAGCCAGGAAGGTAGATGTTCATGTGTATGAATATATATATATATATCTCTATATATCGACACACTATAGTTATATATATAGACACATATGAGAAGATATGGAACATGAATCGACTTGCAACCATCTTGATGCTTAATTGGGTCAAGCATGCTCAACCAACTGGCCACCATTGACCTGATATGGGCCCGTCCTTTTGCAAAGGGTGCTGAATGGCGTGTTGCCGCGCACTGCTGGAAACTCCCAATAGAGGTGCAACTTTGAACATGCACCTCTGCCAGCCTTCCCCCGCCCACTCGTGTGCCCACTAGAAGTGCGCAGGACGCGCCTGCCGAAACGCACTGCTGGTCCCACTGCTCTTGCCAGGTTTGCCAGGCCCCCCACTTCCTGGCGCGACATACGCACGGAAAGTGGTCGTGGCTCTCATAGTGGCGCCGGCATGCAGGAGGGTCTCCACTAGGCGAGGGCCCCCCAAGCCAGCAGTCAGGTCCTATGCTTGTCAGCGGGTGAAGGATTTGGTTTCCCTTCAAGACGAAACCTAAAAGGGTACCCTCGAAATAAACGTGTCTGTGACTTTGTGCACTCTTCGAGGTCTATATGGCCTATGTTCTAACAAATGCACTCTCAAAGCTATCAAAGAACTATGGAAACAAAGAATCCGACCTGAATTCGGGTGACACGCACACGCGTATGCACATGCACATTTGCAAACACACAGACACACCCACACAAACATACATGCACAGAAAACCTCAGTTGGAGCAGCTACGGACCGATGTCGCCAAATAGGAGGGTGCGTCATTGGGGCCTGGTTCTAAGAGGGGTTCCACTGCCCAAGCCACAGGCCGTATACCCTTTACACAGTGCTTATAGTGGTTGTATCCCCACGTTTCCCTCAAGGGTAGTCGTTAGGGGGTAGTGGAAAGCGGACACCATTTTAGACTGGAAAGGACCGTATGAGGTGCAAGGACCGTTTCCTATCTTCATGGAAACGCCTTTGTCTCCAGCTGAGGGACCCCAAGACTGGGTGGAGTCCTATGGGTCAACCAACCAACCAACAAACAAACCAACAAACCAACCGGGGAAGCGGACAAAAAGGCACACCCATTTCATGCACCTAAATTTCTGGACAAGGTGAACCGTCTAAAAGCATTTCCCTGTATCTTGGTCTTCCGGAAGTAGAGTGTAATAGGCGGTAGGAAATGGAAAGAGAAGACAGGAAGGAGATGGGTGAGTGAGATCTCTTTCATCATTCCTCATCACCCATCCCCTCATCTCCGTATCCATCCCTATCTCCGCACGCCTTCATTGAAGATAAGATATAGCGTGCAATGGATGGATGAGAGATGGCAGGGTGCCAAAAACCCGCCCCCCACTTGCGCGAGTTCCCCCTCCCCCCTTTTCAGTGCCTCTCGTCGGGGGCACCTGAGCTCGAGACCGCACGCTTGCCACATGCTTCACCTGCTGGCTGGATACCGCCCAATTTCATCCGAGGCCTTAGGAGAAATTTCCGTTTTTCTTTATCGGTGAGCCGGGTTTCTCCGAGCCAAGGATACAAGCCCTGCCCCTCCCCTCTTGGATGTTGACCATGAGATGCCAGGGAATGCTACTATCAGAGAGTAGACGCCAATAGCAATGCAGGTCATATGTGCCAAAATCATGTAAGTACAAACCTCAGCATCCTTCGTGCTGACCCTCACCCTCTGACAATCTCCCAATCCCTAAACCAAGTGTGGCCTTCCTTGTGTCAGGGTGCCTGCATATACAACCCGTGCACACTCACCAGGGGGGAGCCCCGGACTCAGCGGGACCTTGTTCCACTGCTTGAATCACCGGCAAGGGTGCCCGCCTCACCCTGATGGTTTCGATATGTTTCGATGGCATCTGCTGTTTCGAAGCGGGCCAAAAGAAAGCCGACCTCTGCACCCATTGTTTGACAATGGGTCGGGGGTCCGGGCTGTTGGGCCCAAAGATCACCAGGAAAAGGTTCAGCGTCAGCAGGGCGTCGCTGCCAGCCTGCGACGAATTGCTGCTTCCCGCAGCTGGAAAAATCCCTCTCAGGTGACCCCAACCGAGAACTTAGGGCCATTTCGTTGGGCTTAGAGGGCGTCACTGGGCTCTCCAACTCGACAAGCGGCATGTGGGGAAGAGGCCATTCCCAAATTTGCCAGTGTCAAAGTCCGCCCAATGCATCATCGTGAACGCGAAGTTCCGCTAGCTTCAGCCGCATGTGCAGTGGAAACCTCCTCACTTTTTCAGGGGACCCCGCACCCCCGACTGTTAACCCCAACGGATTCCCAACGCGAACCTCCAGAGCGAGCCCCGCACACCCTCACCTGAATCCACCCAACTCAGCTCACTAAACCACCTAACTCACCACACCCAACCACCCAACCACCCCACCAACCACCCAACCCACCCAACCCAACCCGCCCCAACCCAACCAACCCACCAGCCCCGCCCCCCCAAACCCAACCCACCGGCCCCTCCATGGGGCTCCACGCCGTGTGGCTGCGCCCGAAGCGCTGCACCCCCAGGCGCCGAGCCCAGGCGTCCAGGGACCCGTGGGGCAAGTAATCCCTCAGCTCATAGTTCCGGCGGCCTCGGCGGCCCCGCTGACGGTTGCGGATGGATCTGTCTGCGGTGTTTTTTCTGGAGTTGGCAGCTGTTTTTGGAGTCAAGCCCGGCCCAAAACGATGGGGGAGAGAGTCATGTGCAGAACCTTTTTTTTGTGGTTAAGCCAAGGGGCAAAGCCACCATTTTGGAGGGTCCAGCCTCAATCAAAAGACACACCCAAAATGGTGATGGTGGACACCCCTTTGGTCAGTAGTCACATGGCAAACCAGGAGGAAACCAACGCCATGATATGATGTTGAGAAACTCGCCGTCCTGGACGGCGCGAGGACGTAGACCCTCTTCGGAATTCCCCCAAGAGAATTATGATATAGACAAGAGAGGCACCCAAAGTGAAACCCCTGCAACTGCCATCGCCTTGAACAGGTTTCCTCTGTGCAAGGCATCTCGGTCCCGAAGGGTGGTTTAGAGGTGAGGCGTCAAAGCCTTCATGCCGTCAACCAGGGAAAAAAATCAATGGCCGCCGAGTGCCGAGTGCAAAAGAATCCCCCCCCCCCGCCCAAGGAGCCCCAAGCGCCTCAAGCGCCTCACCCCACTTCCCATTTGGGGCGCGGGCAGTACATGCCCAGCTGCACATCGAAGGAATGGGAGTCCCTCGGCAGCGGCTGGCCGGAGGTCAGCAGCTTCAGCAGATACGCCAGGTCATAGGAGCCTGCCATCCGATCGATCGCAAAACACGCGAGAAATCGAGAAAACCAAGGGGGGCAGGGAGGGGGGGAAACACCTGCAAAGAGACCAACGTCACCCAAACAAGTTCAGCCAGTGCGAAAGCTGCTTTTGAAGCTCACCTGTCTCTTGGGTGCAGAAATCTGACCCGTCGGGATCCAAAAATGGCTGGTACTTCGTTGGAGGACGTTGGAGCGACCGCAGCGGCAGTGTCTGAGGCTTGGTTTTTCTCATCATCAGAGCCCCTTTGTTGGATGATCTGTAAGACGGAAATCGGAGACCAAGCCGTTGGCAGGGAGGCCGCTATTGCAGGGAAAGCGGCTTGACTCTGTCTGGAAGAATCCCCCTCTTCAGCACCGCGAAGCGAGGGCTGTCCGACTAGTGGTCTGGCCTGAATCTTCTCCATCTCCAACAAGTCCAACCCATTGATAGGCAAGGTAAGGCAGCCATGTTGATCAACACACAGCTTCAAAGGGTTGAAAGCTCAGCAAAAAAATGAGGAAACAAATGGCTACAATATGTGCCAACATGCGTGGACCATAAACCAGTTGAGTTCCTTCAGTTTTTCCTGCGAGACAACAAAATGGGCCCGCAGGCCCGCAGGCACAAACACCATGCTTACCTGTGACTTCAACTAGCTGCATGAGTTTAACATAGTTTAAGACACAACCTGAAGCAAGAGAACAAAAAGCAGCAAACTCATTGATGACCAGGTGCTGCCAGATCTTGCTGGATACCGAGTTGTGTCCGTGCGTTCGTTCCCGCGGAGAGGAGAGAGCACAAAAAACGAAGCAACCGCATGCAAGACCTGCGCTTGAATAGGTGGTTCAATCCACGAACTTACCCAGAAAAACACGACCGGATAAAACAAAAAAACATGTTGCTTTTTTTTAATCAAAAATGGGCAACCTCCGAAATCATGGTTTCCTTTTAGCTCTGCCACAAAAGACCTCCCCCCCCCCCCCCCCGGCCACCAAAAAACACAAAAATCGACAAGCCCATGTCAGTGGCCCTAACCCCCCCCCCCCCCCCCTCCCACCCTCCCCGGGGAACAACAACGAGCGCCTGCAAAGGTCACCCAGCAGGGGGCGCGCTGCCCCACCAGCAGGGAGCTCGCAAACTTTCGGCCCAGGATGACTGGCGGTGCGGCCGGCACGTGGCTCCCAACGGACTCGCACGCGAGGACACGCCGGGGTGGTCGCATCACACCCGAAAGGTGAAGCCCTGCGGTTAAGTCTATCTTGGGGTGGTCAAAAAGTGGAAACCCGTGGGTTGGAACCATTTAATGGTTCACCCAACCATTCCGCTGCAACCAGTTCCTGACTCAGATGGCCCGCTGCCTCAGGGAGGTGCCTTCGAGAACGGTCGGATTCCCGATGCTAGGCCAGTTTGAGTCGCTCGTTCGTTGCCTCTTTGAACGGAGCAAGAGTTTCGCATCAGGATTTTGACTCCTGGCATGGGTGATTCAACACAGGACATGTCAGAATTTGACAGACGCTCGCCAACAACTCGTGACCTCCACGTGCTAACTGCCGACGGTTGACACGGAGAAGCTGTTCATGAGCGGATTACTCACCCCACAGAAAAGGTGAACCTCCTATGCATATGAGGCAGACCGCTTGCCCAAAATCAGTCAGAACAAGCTGATGTTAATCACCCTCTTTCCAACAATGGAAGTGGACAGGGAGGCTACTTAAAAGTAGCCTTGATCATTGGAGGAAGGATACTCCCGTAGGTGACCTTTTGGACAAATCGATAGCCTTGGTAAATGAAATCAAACCAATCTAAACCAGCGCCATCTATTTCAAACCAAACTAGCCCAAAAAGGCCACCTCTGGCTACTCCAGCCAGTCCAAGCCGTCCATCCTTCCAGCCCTGGCTGAGGCCTGGATCAATGCCTTCCTTCTTGTGGCGGGTGAAGTCAAGCCCGGCCTCGCACATGCGCCAACCCCCCCCCCCCCGCGCGAGGAAAGTAATCTTACACAATCCGCCAGGAGAGACGTGGATTTCGAAAAGGCGGCCACGCTGTTTGCTTCACCCCCGTCTCCAAGTGCTTTCTGAACAGGAGGCGACATCAAAATGGTCCTCCCATTCGCTACAATTTGGTGGACATCAGGTCCATGAAGACTGATGTCCACCAAGCAATTTTGAAAGTGTCTTTCCGGAATTCGTGGCCATGTGAGTTGCGCCCAAAACCCGTTGACTTGTCGTTCTTGAGCCATGGTGACAAAGTCTACAGAGGCCTTCCTACCCCCATTAAAAGCAAGCAGAGCACATTGTACCCTCCTGTCCACTAACATGGAGCCTGACTGAGGGGTCGTGGAAGACTATGTCCCGCTAACAGAGACCCTCCGGTGGGTTCCACTAACAGTGGACTGGAGGGTGGACCCCAAAAATTCCCCTCTGACCAAGGGCGCTGTGGATGGACGAAGTCCTGCACCGTCCGGAAGCCCTGGAATGGTTCGATTCCCCAATGTAAATACCAGCCAACGAAATCTCGTTATGGTTTCAACCATCTTTTCTGAACGGCGCGAGAAGCGGAGCTTGCAACCACCCACAGTAGACCCCCCAAACCAAACAGAAAGGGGGCCTCCCGAAAGCTGGTTTTTCGTTTTGAAAACCACCTAAACAAACTCAGAACGAAACCACCCCCCCCCAAAAAAAAAACTCAAGGCCCAATCCGAGACCAACCTCTCAAAAGCCCAAGCCAAGCCAAGCGTTCCCCCGGTTTCTCCTCAAAAAGCGCTCCCCCGTTTTTGGGCCCCATCCCATCCCTGGGCGCGAGAGGTCGGCACCGACTTTCCCGGTCCCCCGACCGCCCGCAAGAAGGCCATGGACTTCTCCGTGTGGAGGTCAACCTGCGACGCTCGCGAGTTGCCCCCCGTTTTGGGGCATGGGCCAAAGGGAAATTCCCAGGCGGAAAACCACACGACTTGCAGGGGTGGTCATGGTCTCCAAGTTGTTTTTGCTTTTGCCTTTTTTGGTAGAAGCTTGTGGAAGGCCCGGATTTAAGAAGGGAAGACCGAAGCCATTTGTTCAAACCCATATCTGCCCTTGCTGGCCTTGAACCGCAAAAAAATGAAACAACTCCCTGGTTCACCCGCCACAAGGCGTCGCTCAGATCAAAATGGGCGCGGTTGCAATATCACAGGCGCGAAAGCTGCTCACCTGCAACACTTTTTTCTGGACGCAGGCCCTCCCCGCAATGCAGATGAGCGGCTTCGATGTCAAACCTTGGCTGCGGGCTTTGGAACTTTGGAGTCATCAAGGAGGCTACCTTTCTGAGTTGCCAACCTGGGCATCCCAGTGACCACAGCTGTCACTAAGGAGAGGCCCTTTGAAACAGCCAGAAAAAGCTGACCACAATCTGATCCAAGGGAAATTGATTGAAACAAGCAAAAAGCAGACGGGGATATCTTTTTCATACAGTCCAAATCCTTTGACCTAACAAACGGTTTGCGCAACCCTGGGCAAGCATCACTTGTCTGAGTAATCTTTCCAACAAGTACTTCCACCCATACCCCCACCCCCCCACCAACCCCCCCCCCGTCTTTGAGATACCAAGGTGCGCCAAGTTGAAACTCCAGGCGCCCCGCACGGTGCCGTCCGCGTCCGCCACTGCGGCCCCGAGTTGGATCAGCCGCAGGCGGTCCACGTTCTCCCCTCGGTTTGAAGGGACCCAAAAAAATGCGCAAATAGAATACACACACACACGTGTGTATATATATATGTATATACAAATATGTGTAGTTTTTTGTGGAAGTCTAGAGATTAGGTTGGGAGGTTGGACATTTCGGATCGGTGGTGTCGGCGTCCTGTTTACCGAGAATCGTCCCCTTGCAGGCACTGGGCATGTTCTTCGAACCAAGACTTAGATTGATAAACCTTTGGTTCATTAATGGGAAGGATTGCCGACTGACTAGTTAGGTCACAACACCCTGTGTAAGAATAGGATAGGATAGGATAGGATAGATAGGCTAGATTGGTTTCAATTAAAATAAGTTGGATCAAAATTAGGTTAGATTAGATTGGACTAGGCTAACTAGATTTGATCACACAGAATAGGTTAGATTAGAAATCGAGCATGTTAGATTAGACTAAGATGAACATTAGGCTAAGGCCAAGATAAGAACAACAATGGACGTATAGAACATTGCTACAATACATTATGCCACCTTACATCACATCACATGTGTTGCATTGTGGCACACCACCTTGCGTTACGTTACGTTACGTTACGTTACGTTACGTTACGTTACGTTACGTTACGTTACGTTACGTTACGTTACGTTACCTTACCTTACCTTACCTTACGTAACGTTACGTTACGTTACGTTACGTTACGTTACGTATGTATGTATGCATGTATGTATGTAATGTAATGTATGTATGTATGTATGTAATGTAATGTAATGTAATGTAATGTATGTATGTATGTATGTATGTAATGTAATGTAATGTAATGTAATGTAATGTAATGTATGTATGTAGTGTAGTGTATGTATGTATGTATGTATGTATGTATGTATGTATGTATGTATGTATGTATGTATGTATGTATGTATGTATGTATGTATGTATGTATGTATGTATGTATGTATGTATGTATGTATGTATGTATGTATGTATGTATGTATGTATGTATGTATGTATGTATGTATGTATGTATGTATGTATGTATGTATGTATGTATGTATGTATGTATGTATGTATGTATTTTATGTATGTATGCATGCATGCATGTATGTATGTATGTATGTATGTATGTATGTATGTATGTATGTGTGTATGTATGTATGGCCAGTACGTATGTAATGTATGTAGTGTATGAAATGTATGTAATGTAATGTAATGTAATGTAATGTAATGTAATGCAATGTAATGTAATGTAATGCAATGTAATGTAATGTACTGTGTGTAATATATGTAATGTATGTAATGTATGTAATGTATGTAATGTAATGTATGTATGTATGTAATGTATGTAATGAATGTATGTAATGTATGTATGTATGTATGTATGTAATGTATGTATGTATGTAATGTAATGTAATGTAATAATGTAATGTAATGCAATGTAATGTAATGTAATGTAATGCAATGTAATGTAATAATGTAATGTAATGTATGTAATGTATGTAATGTATGTAATGTATGTAATGTATGTAATGTATGTAATGTATGTAGTGCAATGTAATGCCACGCAACGTAACGTAACGTAATGCAATGTAATGTAATGCAATGCAATGAAATGTAATGTAATGTAATGTATGTAATGCAATGTAATGTAATGCAATGTAATGTAATGCAATGTAATGTAATGCAATGTAAGGTAGGGTATGGTATGGTAGGCGTTGGTATGCTATGCTGTGCTATGCTTTGGCATGGTATGGTATGCAATGTAGTGCGATGTAATGTAATGCACTCTAATGTATGTGTGTATGTATGTAATGTATTGTAAGTATGCATGTATGTAATGTCACGTGTAATAGCGTAATGCCATGTAATGTAATGTAATGTAATATTGCAATGTAATGTATGTAATGTATGTATGTGAGTACTTGCGTACCGTAAGTATGTATGTCTATGTATGTATGTATGTAAGTAAGTATGTAATATGTATGTATGTATGTATGTATGTATGTATGTATGTATGTAATGTATGTATGTATGTATGTATGTATGTATGTAATGTATGTATGTATGTATGTATGTATGTATGTATGTATGTAATGTATGTATGTATGTATGTATGTATGTATGTATGTATGTATGTATGTATGTATGTATGTATGTATGTATGTATGTATGTATGTATGTATGTATGTATGTATGTATGTATGTATGTATGTATGTATATGTATGTGTAATGTATGTATGTATGTATGTATGTATGTATGTATGTATGTATGTATGTATGTATGTATGTATGTATGTATGTATGTATGTATGTATGTATGTATGTATGTATGTATGTATGTATGTATGTATGTATGTATGTATGTATGTATGTATGTATGTATGTATGTATGTATGTATGTATGTATGTATGTATGTATGTATGTATGTATGTATGTATGTATGTATGTATGTATGTATGTATGTATGTATGTATGTATGTATGTATGTATGTATGTATGTATGTATGTATGTATGTATGTATGTATGTATGTATGTATGTATGTATGTATGTATGTATGTATGTATGTATGTATGTATGTAATGTATGTATGTATGTATGTATGTATGTATGTATGTATGTATGTATGTATGTATGTATGTATGTATGTATGTATGTATGTATGTATGTATGTATGTATGTATGTATGTAATGGTGGTATGTATGTATGCAATGCATGTATCTATGCATGTTATGGCATGTTCAATATGTTTGTGTAATGTATGTATGTATGTACGTACGTATGCATGTTAGTATGTATTTAATGTCATGCAACATAATCAAATCGAACCTACAGTATGTATGTATTTATGTATGTGATGTAGTTTAATGTAAGGTAATGTGATGTAATGTAATGTAGTGCAACGCGAGGTAATGTTATGTAATGCAATGCAATGTAGTTTATTGTAATGAAATGTTTTGTATTTTTCGATGCGTTAACGCAAAGAATCGTATGGATGGATGGATGGATGTATGTATGTGTGTGTATGTATGTATGTAGGTGGGTATGTACGTATGTGTATATGTATGTAGGTATCTATGTAATATGTATTTGTGTATGTATGTAATTATGTATGTATGTATGTATGTAATGTATGTATGTATGTATGTATGTATGTATGTATGTATGTATGTATGTATGTATGTATGTATGTATGTATGTATGTATGTATGTATGTATGTATGTATGTATATATGTAATGTATATACATACGTACATACATACATACATACTGTACATACATACATACATACATACATCACATACATACATACATGCATGCATGAATGCATGCATACATACATACATACATACACACATCCATACATACATTTGATTACATACATACATACATACATTCATACATACATACATTACATACATTACATGCATTACATTACATTACATTACATTACATTGCAATATTGCATTACATTACATTACATTACACTAAATGACATCACATGACATGACATATATATATATACATACATACATACATGACAGGCAAACATACATACATACATACATACCTACATACATTGCATACATACATGACAGGCATACATACATACATACATACATGCATTGCATACATGCATGCATTACATACATGCATACATACATACATACGTTACATACATACATACATTACATATATACATGCATGCATACATACATACATTACATACATACATACATGCATACATTACATACCTTACATACATTCCATACATTACATACATTACATACATACATACATTACATTACATTACATTACATTACATTACATTACATTACATACGTACATACATGCATTGCATTACATTACATTACATTACATTACATTACATTACATTACATTACAGTACATTACATACATACATTACATTTTTTACATTACATTACATGACATGACGTGACATATATAGTTACATACATACATTACATACAATCATTACATACATTACATACATTACATACATTACATACATTAGATACATTAGATACATTACATACATGTCATATATTACATACATTACATACATTACATACATTACATACATACATACATTACATACATTACATACATTACATACATTACACACACACATACATACATACATACAATACATTACATTACATTAAATTACATTACATTACATTACATGACATACATTACATACACTACATACATTACATACATTTCATATATTACATGAATTACATACATTACATACATTACATACATGACATACATTACATACGTTACATACATCACATACATTACATAAATTACACACACACATACATACATACATGCATGCATACATACATACAATACATTACATTACATCACATTACATTACATTACATACAGACATACATACACAACAGAACATAACATAACATAACAAAACATAACATACATATACTGCATTACATAAGATTACGTAACATTACATAACATAACATTACAATACATTACATACATACATTACACTACATTACTTTACATTTCATTACATACATACATTACATACATACATATTATACATACATACATACACACATACAAGCATTACATACATTACATACACACACATACATATATACGTACATACAAACATACATGCATGCATACATTACATACACACACATACATATATACGTACATACAAACATACATGCATGCATGCATTACATACATACATACATACATACATACATACATACATACATACATACATACATACATACATAACATAACATACATACATACATACATACATACATACATACATTACATACATACATACATACATACATACATACATACATACATACATACATACATACATACATACATACATACATACATACATACATACATACATACATACATACATACATACATACATACATACATACATACATACATACATACATACATACATACATACATACATACATACATACATACATACATACATACATACATACATACATACATACATACATACATACATACATACATACATACATACATACATACATACATACATACATACATACATACATACATACATACATACATACATACATACATACATACATACATACATACATACATACATACATACATACATACATACATACATACATACATACATACATACATACATACATACATACATACATACATACATACATACATACATACATTACATACATACATTACATACATACATACATACATACATACATACATACATACATACATACATACATACATACATACATACATACATACATACACATACATACATACATACATACATACATACATACATACATACATTACATACATACATACATACATTACATACATACATACATACATACATACATTACATACATACGTACGTACATACATACATACATACATACATACATACATACATACATGCCTTACATAGATACATACATTGACATACATAGATTTACATACATACATACGTACATACATACATACATACATACATACATTACATGCATACATGCATACATACATTACATTACATTACATTACATTGCATTGCATTACATTACATACATACATACATGCATACCTTGCACACACACATACATACATAACATACATAACATTACAATACATTACATTACATTACATTACATTACATTACAATACATTATGTTACATTACATTACATTACATTACATTACATTACATTACATTACATTACCTTACCTTACATACATACATACATACATACATACATACATGCGTACACACATTGCATTACGTCACATTACAGTACCTTACATACATACATACATATGTACATTACATTGCATTATACTACATTACGTTGCATTGCATTACGTTCAACCATGCTATTACGTTCAATCATACATACATACCATACATAAATTGCATTGCATGCACGCATGAATGCATATGTTACATGCATACATACATGCATGCATACACACTACATGCCTGCATACCTACATCACACACATAGCGTTCCAGTACATCCCGATACATTACATTGCGTTACATGACGTCACATGCATACATACATATATGCATACCTAGCCATAGTGGTGTTTTTACATAGAAGCATCGGGTTAGATAGGTAGATGGATATAAGAAAACATATACATATGTACCTACAGCGAGAAAAAGAGACTATATAACTTGTAGATGTAGAGCAACAACCACCTTTTTCGTACGCATCTGCCGCCCTAGCCCCCCCCCCTCCACCCCCCACCCCTTCCAAGCAGCGAGCCTAAACAGGCTTCAAACCATGTGGCCGGGCAATGCGTAACGGCAACAGGCGGCAAACCAGTCCAGCCAAGACAGGGCCCTAAAAATATGCTGAAGCACCTGTGCACCCCTGACTCTTGCGGGGAAAGTGCACAGGGTAGAAACAAGGACCACAAACCTATTACGAGCCTGCAAAACCGACAAAACAACAAAACAAAAACATCATGGCGTCTCCAGAGCTCGCAGCCCGTCCCCCAGCCGCTCACTGCCGGCTAGCCGCGGAGCGCCTGGTACCGCGCGGCGCGAGCGCCGCTCCGCGGCTCCTGGCCGACTGAAGCGTTAAACCAGGGACACGCAGTGCTTCAAGGGGTGATCGGGGCGATTGGGGAAGTTAGGTTAGTGGGTAACAACCATGGTTCCCACTGAACGGAGCCATGTGACTTATAAGTCAAAAACCAGTGGGATTGATTGATTTCATTCAAGGGTTGACTAAGGGTTGCTTTCATTGAGGATTGCTGATTTGGGAAAATGTTGGGGGGGCTTGACTGATTTGATTCAGATTTTGATTGAGATTTCAAGATTGGGTTCGGAGAGGAGTTGGGCTTGGAAAGGTCAGGGTACTGGGATAATGCGTTCCCGCAATCGAAAGATCAGCCTGCTCCTCGACATGCCGCTTGCCATGTCTGGATGTGACCAAATCCTGACGCTTGAACCTGCCCCCAGCGGATTGCCAGCCTCCCCATTTTGAGTGGCGAACATCTCAATGACAATCACGGATGCCAGTTCAAACCGCTTTCTCAGGTTCACCTCGCGTCCAGTTCCATGTGACTTCGATGCGCATCTGAAGACCGCACGTCAGCTCTTGACACGCCTCTCAGACACTAATCTGGTGTGTTCTCAAATATTGCCAGTAAATCAAGTACAGCACATGGGAATTTACAGAGTTTCCCTTGCTTCCGACTTGTAACCGTGTAGGTATCAACCACAGCTACCTCCCGTACAGCTCCAAACGCTGGTAGAAAAGCATGAGTGAGAGTTGGGCAAAGCAGCAAGAGATGGCAAAGAAAGTAGCAACCGAAAAAGGAGCAAAAGGAAACAATCCAAACTAATCACCAAGAACTTTCGAACAGGGAACGAAACCCGAAAAATCAAACCAGGCAGTCAGGCGAGCCAGCAAGCAAGTGAACAAACAAGCGAGAGCGTCGCAAACTTCCTTTGAGAAAAAGAATGAGAAAAAAAAAAGAAAGAAAAAACGAACGACCCGAACGAACCAAGCAAGATTCACAAAGGCGGAGTAGACAAACGCGAACAGGAAAACCGCCCCATTCAGGTGCACAAACGCGAAAGCAAAGGAAAACCGCCCCATTGAAGTGTTGCTTTTCTACTTTTGCGACAAAGATGTCCCCGGAAGTTGCGCCGTTTCTCCTGGCGTAGGAAGCCCGGGAACTCCATGTCGATGGCCAGGATGGCGCCCCCGCTGGCATCTCCCGAGGCAGCAGCCAAGAGATTGCTGAACCTTCCGCAACGTTCGAAGCCAAGTCCCCGGAGTCTCATCGCCAAAAGGAAAAAACACCTTTCCATTTTGACCCCAAGAAAAACAGTTCGAGAACCAAACCTCAAACAGGGTCCCTGCATGCCCCCTCAACAAATGCATTTTACGGGTGGTTTGCGTTGAAACGATCCCCACTTTTGGAGGTTCCAAAAAGGGAAATGGATGGAAACCCTGTCAAAAATCCTCAAACACCAAGAGGGCGTTGATTGTCGGAACGGACATCTCTGCTGCTCAGGTACCGGTCCTCTGGCCCCTTGTTGCCGGTTAACAAGCCAGCAAGCAAGCAAGCAAAACCAAAGCAGCCGGGTGGCTCATGGTCCAAATTCCAGGCATAGACCTGGCGACGAGATCACAGGCTTGAGAGGGCTCTGGCGATCTGCGGGATCTGTGGCTTCTCCAGGCGTTCCCGGTGAATTGCTGGAAAGGGGGCGCATTGGTCCACGGCGCAACTCTGAGGTGCGTTGGGAGCATTTGGCGTGGGCATCAGAATCCCAAAAGGGCTCTTCCCACCCAGCCGTCCAAACGAGGGGCTGGCCAAATGATTATGCAAGCCTATAACTTATCACTTACTCACCTGAAACTTGAGAAAGGACGGACCGAAAGCTGGCACTTCCTTTTCATCAGCGTGCTCTAGACAAGCCTTTTTGGTAGGCCTCGTCCCCCCCACGCATTTGAACCAGGAACGTCAAAATGGCAATCTCAGCAAATGGACATGGAAGAGCTCGCTTCCGAGCAAGATGTAGCGAGAGCAGGTGCCCAGACAAACCAGGAACGCGAGACAGCAACTCTCAAGGAACCGCAAAGCATGTCATGCGTGCGGGCTGGAACAGCAGTATGTGGCAAAACAGAATCGAGCCCCCGGCCTGTTTCAAACTAATGAAACATGCATTCGTTGAACCCCCTACTGGACCACCCGCATTTTCCGTCTTGTCACCCACCCCCCTCCCCAACCCCCCCTAACTCCCACAAACAAGCTTTGGTCATTTCACCTTGGACCCGCCTCCGCCAACTTTGGTCATTTCACCTTGGACCCGCCTCCGCCATGGGCCAACCCCCCGTGTTTGAACAGCTGATTGTTTCTCCCCGCTCGTCGCTCGCATCTGCATCCTGGCAAGGAGCCTCGGTGATGTGCTTCTCGGGGCTGATGGTCGGCGTGTTTGGAGGAGACTCTTGGTCCGACGCCTCAGACCGGCAAGCTGGCAAAATCGGGGCTCCGAATGGGTGGTCTTCCTCTTGATTCCCTTTAAATCAACCTTGAAAGGGGTACCCTCAACAAACACCCATCCAAATACGGCTTCTGTTGTTCCTCTGAACCGCGCAGTGGTTTGGTCTTTCAAGGGAAATGGCCTAAAATACTTACTTAAAAGTCAGACATGGGGAAAGATGAAGGGTAGCCTAGGCCGAGCGCCGTTGCTCCGGGGCGAGCAGCCGGGGGGGGGGGGGGCTCTTGTAGAGGAACTGAACGGATGGCCAAGCGCCCGAGCGGAGACCCCGGAGAGCGGTACTTCAGAGCTGCCCCTCGCAACCTTGCCTTCGCATTCCTTTGAAATTTTGAATGCGGCGCTTGGGCTCGGTCCCAGCAAGTTGGACCAATGCTTGCTGAACATGGGCCCCTCACTCTGGGACAGGCCTAAGTGCTCCCAGGTCCTCAGGGGTGCTGACTCGCTGACGCATCTGCATCCGTATATTCATATGCACTTTAGCATCTATTAACATATGTATATTATATACACATGCGCATAAGCACGCACATAAATATATATATATATATATATATTATATATATATATATGTATGTACATATGCTCGCAAATATACATGCGTAATCTCATATGAACACCTGTTGCATACACTTTGGAAATATGGATGACCCCGACAAACAGGCTGTTGTTCATACTCCTCTCCTGGAAAACCCAAAAACATCCAAAAATCGCAATGATACATTGTGGATAACCAGGGGGCCAGCCGGGGGGACAAGGGGTAAGGCATAGGCCCCCGGCAGTTACACTCGACGCGCTAGGAGGTGCCATCGGGCTCACCTCGATGCAAGGGGGCCCCGCTGGCCCCACGAATCGCCAGGGAGCATGTTATCTGTGTAAATGCATTGTATGGCCCTTTAAGGGGTGCAACATGCACTCAACTGCCTCGCAAGCATGTCAAACAAGCTACGTTGACAAGTCTGTAGCTAACGATTACCATACTGGAGGGGATTGAACGATTGAGGCCCACGAATGGCATCAAAGCATGTCCCCGTCTGTGAGAAGAGGGCAAGGTGTTGCAAGCCAATGTAAGCATTGCCATTTAACCTTGCCTTTTCCCGGTGCAATAACTGCAAATAGGATTCCAGAACGGGAAAGGAATTCTCGGAGCTAACAGGCCCGGTGGCTACCCTCCCGACAAAAGGAAAAGGGAGGACCCCACGTGCGCTTCAAGTTGCAGATCACTGGCTACCCCCTCGCGCGCCTGCGAGACTCGCCTGCCTCCCACCGGGGTTAAACCACCGGTTAGCCGCCCGGGCCGAAAGTGGCTGCGGCGCACGTGCGTGGCCAACTGCTCCAAAGCGCCCGCGAGACTCCCACGTCCATGCCGAAGCTGAGAAAAGGGCGCCGTGTGGACAGGTTGCACGCTGCATGCTAGACAGCATGGCCCTTACATGCACAAGTGAGAGGTCCCGTGGAGAACCATGCTGGAGGGAGCCCCCAAATTACACCCCGATGCCGACTAGAGAAGGACGCCATTCGGGGCCAGTTCCAGACAAAGCTGGCTATGTTGGAACATGTTGTCCAGGGCGCATGACACACACATAATAAAAAAAAGCTTCGATGTCATGCTTGTTTGGTGGTTCGCAAACACATCCAATCAACTGTTGATGCTGGATATGGGAACTGGCACGCCGGACTTCAAGTTTTTCTTCGAGTTGCCCTGGAAGCATACAAACGGGTCCTTCACCTGAAAGTTGTGGCTCCTCCACTTTGATGGGTGAATGCATGCCTGCTAAGCACGGCATCGGCACCACCGAAAAGGCTACAAATGGCTAAACGCTGCTTTTGGGGGCTCCTTTTGCAACCCAGAAGGCAAAGACAAATTCAGAAACATTCAGAAACCCATTCTGAATCCTATTGCCCAACACTGCGCTGCCTCTGGAACACGAACTCTTCACCTAGAGAAAAAGTTGGAACCAACCCCTACTTGTCGAGTGACCCTTGTAGAAGGGTGCCCTTGTTGAGGCCGGAACATGCCGTGAAACAACTGCAAACACCCCTCCGAACATTGCTGCAACAAGCAGTGTCGTTGTGCACTGTGTAGCCCGGTCAGGACTGGTCAATTGCAATTGGGGACCCCCCAGAAATCCCCACAAAGATGTCCACCAGAGGGCCCCAAAAAGAATCCAACCAAATGGCACCCCCGGCCCCCCACGCCGCCAAGCTCGGGCGCCCTGCGGACTCCTCGGAGAAGAGCGCGTTCCTCAGATCGTGGCCCAATTCGGGGTGGTGTCCCACTTCGCACTTAAAGGTTCAAAATCCCCAAGCCACCAATCCACTCGCTTCTGATCGAGCGGATTGGCCGAAAAAGTCCCCAAACTTTTGAAAATGGTCGTCCCAAAAAGTATAAAGTCCAGGAACTCAGGAAGTGAGATTTCAAATCGCATATGAGTTGGTAGCTTTAGTGAACCGACCGACTTAAGGAAGTAACAGGGTCCATTTAAGCGAGCAAGCCGACCGGTAAAAAGCACTGCGTGACTCCATTCCCACAGAGGCCCCGGCTCCTCCAACCCCAAGATGCCTCGCACCTTGCACGCCACACAATGCAAATAGGTTCCTGGGCTCCAAATGGGGAATCGATACACATCTAGATGAGATAAAACTAGTTTAATATATAATATAAGATATAGTGTGTCCAGTGGTTAAATTCATGTTTCGGCCAAAGAAAATTCGGGGGGCATTCTGCAATCTGCTTTCACCCCACTGCAGGCTGATTACAGAGATGCTCGTTGCGGTTCTCGCCGCTTGGCAAAAAGTGCGGTTCAGTGGTTCAGATTCAGGATTCAGCCAACGCATGCCGGCCTGCGCACGGGGCGTTGCCAACCCCAAACCTAATCAACGTTTTGATGCCGGAGAAACTCGCAGACAGAACTTAATGGCCCCATATTACATATTTATGATGCAAGTAAGTCAGTGTGTGCTAAACGGAATGATGAACAATCTGATAATATACAACTACAAAGCTAGATGTAAACATATGTTTTAGGTAGCAATAGGTATATATCAATCCATCACTCACACACGTGCCCGCGCCAACATGGAACGTCAGACCGCCGGCGCAGTGCGCCTCGTTGAGCGGAGGCATGGTCTCCTCGCCGCCCGGCGCGAAGCGGCGCGCGAAACGGCGCGAAACCCGTCGTTTGGCCGAAGCAACGCCGATCCAAACCTCACTCTAAGGTTTGATTCCAACCATTATCTTCACCCATCGTCTCTTTGGAAACCGCCTATTTGCAGGGGGTTGGCCCAGTTTTTGAAGAGAATGCTGAGTTGCCCAAAGAGAACCCAAACATTTTACACCAACTAACCAACAAACTACTGCCAAACAATGCTGATTTGTCCAAGGAAGCCAAAAAAAATATTAGGCCGGCTGACCAAAGCCGCTCAGCCAACCAAGAACGCACAGCGATCACACTCCTCCGGGCTCCTTTCATGGGTTCCATTCTTGGATGCAGGTAAACCTGCCTGACTCACATGGACACGTATTCATAATACGTACATCTGTATACTGGGGAGCCCCGAAAGAGTGATTCAAAGGGAAACCCACTACAGCAAACAAATGGGTGTTCCTAGGGCAACTCCCTTCTACTTCTATTTGTAGCTGTCAGTGTCAGGGTTTAATCGGATGGTGCGGTTGGGTGTCCAGAAACCGCCATTTGTAGCGAAATCTGCTTTTTGGGGGACGTTCATCTGTGGGTTTCACGTTTCACTGTAAGAAGACAACCTTTCCTGTGGTACCAAAGTGTGGGATTCCCGTCACTACTCCATCACTTCAATCAGGACCTCGTTGGAAGCCAAATTTCGCGAAAGGCTCCACTCACTTCATCAGGGCTCCCCATCTTCCCCTTTAAGCATCACTCCGTCAAAACGATACTTCGCTCCTTCAGGGCAATTTGATTACCAGCTCCTCCCCCAAGCAAAATCTTAAAATCCAGGTTCCCCGGGTCCCCGGGTGTCATTTTGGCCTTTGAATCCAACCAACCAACCCCCCTCCCAACAAAAAACACAAACAAGAGACCAAACCCCTCGCAACACCAAGACGACCACCGTGGTCCCAGGCGCTGCCGACAAGCGCAAGGAGCCATGCGCGCAACGCGCCTCGCTGGCCGCGAGGCCCAGGAAGGCCGCCAGCGCCGGGAAGTCGGTGTTGGAGATCACGCCGATGGCCTCGTCCCTGAGGGAAGCGAGCTGCCAGGAGCGAGGGGACCGGCAAACCAGGTGGGGAGGGGGGGGGGGGGGGGCGAAAACCATGGGGTGTTAACTGAGGAAACCACACAAAAACGAATAATTTACAGCGCTGCCGACAAGCGCAAGGAGCCATGCGCGCAACGCGCCTCGCTGGCCGCGAGGCCCAGGAAGGCCGCCAGCGCCGGGAAGTCGGTGTTGGAGATCACGCCGATGGCCTCGTCCCTGAGGGAAGCGAGCTGCCAGGAGCGAGGGGACCGGCAAACCAGGTGGGGAGGGGGGGGGGGGGGGGCGAAAACCATGGGGTGTTAACTGAGGAAACCACACAATAACGAATAAGTTACAAGAACTGAGCAAAAACGAGGAAAAGAACCACAACAAGGGTAAATCAGGAGCATTGTACTGTACAGAATCGGCTTCCTTCCCGTACATGATATATTTGGGGCAACCGTATGGGTGTTGCTTTTGTTTACTTCTGGCTTCTTACTAGATCTGGTTGTTCTGTCTATGGGCTGGCAAGTTGGCGTGTCGCAGAATTCGGGGCTTCAACTGCACCAGGGCGGAAGCAGATGGCACAACTCCCTTTTTGTGGGCAAGCACCACCACAACCACCACCACCACGGCCGCCGCCAAAAAGCAAATATTAAAACAAACAATCTTGGCACGCGGAGCCAGGGTCGCCAGAGCACCGGGGACCCAAGAAAACGCGTCAAACCAGATACAGGGTTGGTGTCTGAGCATGTCTATTCGGAACCATCATTGATTTAAACATACTCATACAATTTTCCCTCAAAAGGGTCATCTGTGTCACCCCCCCCCCAAAAAAAAAAGAAAAAAGAAAAACCGAATGCAAACACAGCTCTACCGTTTTGGCTTCGACCGTTCGTGTGGAGAAGAAAAAAGGTACCCTCAAACGTTCACGCTCCATGCGGATCCTCGGCTTCCCGGCACCACCTCGTCCCCCAGGTCGTCGCTGGGCGGTAGGTTGAAGAGGGAGAAGACCTGCCCGCGGCTTCGTTGAACGAAGCCAAAACCCCTGCAGCTTCTGCGCGTGGTCGTGTTGGTATTTTGAAAGCCGGCTTTTGCGTTTTACGTGTTCGTGTGCTTTGCGGGTTTGAACCGGGGGTGCAAAAAATGTGTTCATGTTCACGTGGCGTCCCCAGCCATACCCTTGGACTAAGGTGTTGAGAGCTCAAAGGGATCTGTGGAAATTTAGCACAGCATCAAAGA